TATCCAAAGTGTTTTGCAAAAAGACAACTGTCATAACGTAAAATCCACTTTTGCTGCAAAAGGTTTTGGTATTTTACGACCAATACACTGTCCTAGACTTTTCATAACTTGAGAACAGAATGAATACATCCTCAAACGCATGTCCTGGATGAACAAATCTGTATAATATAAAAATCCTTTAATGTCAATAAAGCAGACAAAAATTGTTCCAGTCTTAGATTTTTATATTCGCATTTTCCATTCTTCTACTGAAGATGGTGGAATTTTCTTTATGGGCCTCGAATTCAATGTAAGATGGTGATCATTTCAGGTCCGTTGATCCTGTTTCACAAAGCCAGCCTCGACGGCGCACAACTCTCAGTCTCAACAAGCGAGATTTAGACCCCCTGGCGGAGGACGAGGACGAGGAAAACGACACCGAGGACACCGACAGCTTCACGGATAACGAGGGTGAGTACGACAGTCACTGACGGCGACGTTCTCTGAGGCCGTCATGGTCACGCGTTCAAATTACAGTTTTATATTTCCAAATTTATGAAAGCAATGTTATTATGCAAACAAATTGCTTCATCAAGATTAAAAATCGAGCAACACAAGACTTGGATGCTTCAGCATTTAATTAACAGGGGTTCTCAAACTTTTCCAGACCACAAGCAGACGCAGCCCGCACAAGAGTTTTTGGTAACAATGTTACCTGTACGATAAAAAGTAGTTTCTTGTTATCAGAAAACAAATATTGTAAAAGTAGTTAGCATTTTGCGATCACTACCGCTGTGAGTAAAAGATCAGTTTAATGAAAAACATCTAATCAACAACTGGGATGAGTCTTAACTAACTAGATGGCGTACCGAACCCGAAGGTTCATCACCGAATTAACCAAAACCCTCCACCGGACCATATCCTGGGCCAACAAAATCCAGTCTCCTTCAACTCCTATCTCCCATAGATCCCGCCTCAGATTATCCTCCCATCTACGTCTAGGTCTCCCCAGCGGTCTCTTCCCCTCAGGCTTCCCAACCAGCACCCGGTGCACACCTCTTGTCCCATCCATGCGCGCTACATGTCCCACCCATCTCATTCTTCTCGACTTAATCACCCTGACAATATTGGGGGAGGAGTATCAATTTTTAAGTTCGTCATGGGATGAGTCTTACTGATAAAAACTTCTGAAAATATAGATGTGAATTACAACAGAAACTAGACTTGATATTAAACCATTACTCAAGTAAAAACAGGTCAAAAATCCCACTAATAAATGATTTTGTTAAAGGAAGCTGTTGAGTAATATTTTAATCTCTCTGTAATAGTATGTCTAATTTAGGCCCATATTAAATAAATTACCAAGAGGCTTCAATAGACTGTCTTCTTTTATAACACTGCGGTCCGCGAGTCGATACGAAAATAATAAAGTGGCCCATGGTCTGGAAAAGTTCGAAAACCCATGTTATAAGAGAAGATAATTTATTTAAACGCCAAAACATTTAAAGATTGCTGTCTTCTGGGTTGTTGCGCTGTGTAGTCTGGTCGATGTTAACCAACGTTTCAGGGGTCATACTGCCTCCGTCATCAGGGCGATATGTATCGCCCTGATGACGGAGGCAGTATGACCTCTGGTAAACATCGACCAGACTACACAACGCAATAACCCAGAAGACAGAAATATTCATACTCACCGCTGTGAAAACCTCAAATACTACATGCCATGACATTTCATTACATATACCACTAAATTAGACAAACTCTTGGAAAGAGGTTCACACATATTATTTAACAATTTCCTTTAACAAAACCAGTTACTAGTGGAATCATTGACACGCTTTTACTTAGTAATCTTGTTTCTTTGGGTTGCTATGAACCCGTGCATTCATCAGTAAGACCCGTGCCAATTCTTGATTCTTTCTTATTCATTAACCTGATATCAGGTAACGAATTTTTTTTAGAGTGACACAGTGTAAGCAAAAACATACTTGAGACCATACAAAACACTGTAATACATTAAAAGACCTGCTGAAAATTCATAATACAAATCTTTAGTTTTACACACTCATAATTACTTCAAACTTCAACAGCCCGCACGTGAGACCAGGTATACAAAAGAGGATAATATTAAGATGTAAAATACGTCCTAACGAAATAAAGTATGAGTGTGGCGGGCTGCTATGGACAAGGTAGGCTACAGAACACAAATCATGTAACCTTTTAGCAACCGAAAGGTCTGGGGGACTCTGAAGCATAATAGCCTTGCTCTGTGTGCAGACATGGACCGAAAAGGAGAACGCGACGAACAGGTGACCCCGTACTGGATTGACCATCACCCGGAAATGAGGAAAGGTGTTGTCGACTTCCTGCCCACAAAAGAAGATCAATTCTGGAAGGATCTTATTGACAAGTACCTCTACGTTCTTGACAAAAACGCAGAGGCAAGCGACTTTCATCTTACTTTCGAGCACATTTGAAATAAAATTGTGCTGCCTTATTATACAATTTGAAAGAATAACAATATTTAAAAATTCAGTCCGCACCTCAAAGAAAACACAGTACTTAACCATTATAGAGATCAAACAGCTAATAATATTTGTCAGTGGTCTCAATCTATGTGTCGCGAACGTATTTGACAAGTACGACCAGAGGCTTTGAATAAAGGAACTATTATATAAAATTAAACATGTAAATTAAATAACCAATTAATTGTTAATCTCGCACTGTTATCCGTAACTGAGTATATTTTAGTAATTAGTTAAATTATAACAATAAACTCATATTTTAAACTTGGAATCAGAAATTAACGACAATGGTGGTATCAGTTACTGTTGGTGGTGGTGTTACAACAATGACTATGAAGTTACCTCACCCCACTCTTTACCGCAAATGAATTCGTACGCACTCCTTCTGTTGACAGAGACTGCGAGGAACAGTGAATTCATATGTTTCTGTACGGAAGATTCTGTGTCGCCCAATTCTTACTCATACTTTATGTTGAGTATAATGCCTTTTGATGAAGGAATTTCCATTTTATAAAATAATTATTACAAGTAGTGCCCTTAAAAGCAGATATTTTTGTTACAAAAAACCAGTACGAGCAGGACCAAGCCAAGCCAAGTAAGATTTCTAAAAAATAGGTGTCAAAAATTTTAGAAATGTATTCTAGTTTCAATACGTCGCAAGAAAGATGAATATTCTAAGTGTCCTGATAACACCAAAAGGTTGAGAACCAGTGCGTTACATAATCAATCGCTGTTTCTTCTTGGTTTCATATAAAAACCGTAAATACTCTATCGTTAAAATAATGTTACATAATTACATTAAGTGATCACCACTGTGCTTTAAAGTATCAAAACGCCACGTCGTTCGAACATGGCTTAATACAATTAAGGAATAATTCGATCTGTGCTAATAAACATAATAACAATTTCTTTCTCGTAAGCCTATTTCTGAAACTACCTCCTTCCTGTATGAAGAGAGAAATATATTGAACGCGTTACTTTAAAACGAGGCAAAATCTTAGGTTGTTAAACATTTTAAATTGAAAGGAGAACTGGAGAAACAGTGTTTGAGTGATAGGCTAGTGCCTCGCCCTGAGAGAAGGTAAATGTCTATGAAAACAGTAGCTGGTGGGAGTCTGGTGCAGCGCATATTCGGCCATCATAAGCTGCTGACTCACTCACGTCTACGCCCCGCCCCGGGAATAGGCTAACACGGAGTCAAACAGTCAGTTGATGTCAAAAAGAAAAGTGTGTAATGCACAACTTTGGTATTTACTCTCGATCAGTCTCGTAGGCTGTTGACCAATGCCCACCTCTTGTTTTTGTTGCAGAAGGAGAAGCTGGTCGCGAAGAACCTCAAAGACCTGAGGGACATGTCGGTGTTCGCATTCTTCATGATGAACGCCCTGTTTGTTCTTGTCATCTTCCTTCTGCAGCTTAGTAAGGATCAGATACACTTCAGCTGGCCTTTCGGTGTCAAGGCGAACATCACGTACGACAGTAAGACGTATGAAGTACGTGTCATGCAAAAAGCATTACGGTGTATTCCATAATTCCATGTAAACATGACGTATAATAGACCTACTACGTTAATTATGAGTCATTAAAATTATGTAGGCAGTAAAATAGCGCTATAAAGGCGTTCGACGATTAAAATCTATGATGTACTGTGGTGTAACAACCGATGGTTGGGTCTTCAGATCAGCTGTGGACTCGGCATGCAAAAGCAGCCGACTGCGACCGAATTACACATTCCGAGAAGTGAATTGACTTATTTAACTTGTGTCTGGTGCAATTTCAGATAACAATCACCAAGCAATACCTGGAGCTTGAGCCCATCGGTGTGTTGTTCATCGCTTTCTTCGGTGTCATCCTCATAATACAGTTTCTGGCGATGCTGATCCACCGTTTCGGCACATTGTCACACATGCTCTCCACAACACAAATCAACTGGTTCCGTGGTAGTCCTCACGTAAGTCTAACAAGCAACAAATACATCTGGTAGCCTATCTCGGATTCAATTTCCTAAGAGAGACTAAAAAACAGAATTGGGTTTTATAAACATTTCCTAACATGTGTATGGCATTCTCGCTTCAATTTCTTTTCGTCCGCGGTTCGATTCTTGGCTCGGACGTCAGTCAAAACACCTTCCCATTCAACAGTGTAACCTAAGCATATAAAAAGCGTTGTTAAACAAACTGGAAACATTCAGAAATCAATTTATTTATTGTATAAACCGAATCTTTTAGTCGTCAAGTAGACCTGCGTCTATCATGTCGTCTCAAACATTTAAAAAGACGCGCTAATTTAAATTATATTGATCCTGGAACACGCGCACGAAGTTTGTAAACATACTTCTGACTCACTCTGTATTTTAAAATTAGAATGGACCTCGCGTAACGTAAAATGATTGACAAAAACGTTCTCTGCAATAACGCTAGATGGCAAAACGTTCTATACAAAATCCTTAAAAGTACTTTGTAGTGAGGTTTTCTGGCTTCTCGTGACTTAGAAATTACGTGAAATAGAATAGTTTAAATTAAATAGGTACTTTGTGATGGACACTGAACATCTGAGGGTCTTTGCGATAATAATTTTACAGAATCTAAGTAGAATTACGAAATATGTTAATTAAAATAAAATAATACGTTAGCGAAGCAGGGCCGAGTACAATGACAAAGGAAACAGACTAAATTAGCATAATTACCTAGTAAATTTCAATGCAGTCTTTACACTAGTTTAATCTTGACCAGATATGTAATCAGGGACCATTTATTACTAATGAAGCACAACAGAGTTCAGCAACATAATGAAGTGTGTCTCTTTGTGTCCGACCAGTCTGACGACAAGGATGCAAAGGCCAGAGAGGTGGTGCAAGTCGTGAAGGGCCTACAGCAGCTGCGCGGAGCGGATGGCAAAATTGAAGACACGGACCCGATGCAGGAGAACGTTGGACGGCGCAAGACGATCCAGAACCTTCACAACAAACACCTGCTCAAGAAGAAGCAGTCCGTGCGAACGCTTGACACAGCCCTCAAACGACGGCTGTCCATGATGCCAGATAACTCAGGTATCAACTGCTTCCGAGAGACTCCCTCGAGTATTCCTTAAACACACTGCTTCCCACACTTTTTCCTTCATTACCCCAAACCGCTTATCAGAAAGTCCTTTTTACCTAATGTAGGTAAAACACTGTGTTTGTTTGTCAACAGTCTTTCGACTGGTTTGACGTGGTCCTCCATTTTCGCCTATCTTGCGCCAATCTCTTCATTTCACATATTTTTTGCAACCCACATCCTCAAAAATCTGCGTCACATACGAGGTGCGATCGAAACGTTTCTAGACTGCGCCTATAAAAACCCGTACACTTATCTCAGGTATTAAATTCATCCATCACCCTCGAAGTAGTTCCCCTGGGAGTGAACACAACGATCCCAGCGCCGCTGCCAAGCCTGGAAGCATCCCTGGAAATCTTTCTTTGTCAGCCTGTCAAGCACCATCTGCGATTCTGCCTGAATCTCTTCTATCGTCTCAAATCTCCTTCCCTTGAATTTTCATCTTTCGGAAGAGGAAGAAGTCACACGGAGCTAAATCCGGCGAATAAGGAGGGTGCAGGATGACGGCCATGGTGTTTGAGGCCAAAAACTGCCGAACTTTGAGGGCGGTGTGCGCTGGCGCGTTGTCATGATGCGTCGCATGTGGAGTTCTTCCTTTAGAATCAGCTCACAGGTCCCATAGCCTATCCCAACAAGGTCGCACAAGTCGTTGATGGTACGACGATGGTCGATCTTCGTGAATGGCCTGCCGAATCTTCCTAACATTTTCGGGCGTTGTGCTCGAAGATGGTCGTCCAGAACGCTCGTCATCATCGACAGAGGTTCGGCCATTTTTAAAACGTGAATGCCACACAAAAGTTTGTGCACGACCCATTGCGGACTCCCCAAATGCTTGCTTTAGCATTTCATAGGTTTCCGTAGCCGTTTTGGCAAGTCTTTGGCAACAGAAGCTCGTACTACATCCGGTTCGCCCTCTATTGACACAGTCTTGAAACTTTCCGATCGCACCTCGTATTCCAATCTTTTTCTCCCTCTACAATTCTTTCCTTCAACTGTTTGCTAGACGTAAGACAGACAAAAATCAAAATTAAATGAATTTCTGTGTGATTTCTGACTCTTGCACAGACAAGTATGAAGAAATTTGTCTTCTGGGATGTTTTTGGAGCTCCTTACTCAATCCGTCAACAGATTTCAGGAGACTGCGTGGTCAAACACGCCAAGAGACAGCCATTTTAAAACTTCTTCTTTGTGACTTTCCCACTGACCATGTTTCGCTTTCGTATAGCGCTGTGCTCCACACATGTAACTTCAGAAAAATCTTTCTTAATTCCAGGCCAGTGTTTGACACTAGTAGTAATAGTAGCATCGTACAATAGCCTGAAATACCTATGAAATAAATCCATTGCTTACAATAGGAAATGTTGATCAAGTTTAATTGATTTACCGGAGAGAACGACGAACTTAGTAAATAAATTTTTACGTTATCTAGATCTAGAAAACATAAAAAATTTTGATATTATGTTCGCCGTGCTGTATGGCAACTTCTCCGACAAATGTGCTGAGCGGGAAACAGAATACAGCAGGCGCCCTGTACTAGCCTGCTGAAAATACGACACGTATCATTCAGATCATAATGAGGAGAATACGCTTAGGAACTGCTGTGTTAAGTCACTACAGACTCTATTAAGCAAAGTCATATAGTTGTAGCATATAACTGAAACCTAGGGAGCATTATTTTGCTGGCATATCCACGAGAACATACGATTCCTTTTACTTTAGCGATACTGCAAATCCCGAACATAATCCACATTTGGACTAGACATTATTTTAATTTCCCTTCTGAAAGTTAAAGTTGGAGACTGAATGATGCAGAAGGATGGTGCAAGTGCTCATAGGGCAAACTAAACATTGGATGTGTTACTATTATCAACTTTCTGGATCGAACTTTTTAACCATGGATGGAAATATTCTCTTTCCGGAACTTGGGGGGGGGGGGGGGGTCAAAACAGACAATCAATTCGTCCCTTTTTGTGCATTATAATTAAAAAGAGAACTAAAATGTTACAATAAGTGCATACCTATTGTAAAAAATCTTACTTGGCTTGATCCACAATTACTATATTGTAAAAGATCTTACTTGGCTTGATCCACAATTACTAATATTATGCAGCATGACTATAATAATTTTTAACAATTGACACAATCGCAAACACTTTTTCATACAACTGTAGGCTGCGTGATTTCTAGAACTCTTCATGCGGCTGTATAGAAATACGTAAATCGGGACCAAGTATGGTGCAGAATCCGTCTTGAACAGTTGACATGCATTCAGCTAATGAAAAAACCTCTTGCTTTAAGAGAATACAAAATTTCACAACTAAACTCTAGCTCCAGCCAGATCAATCAATTTAATATTTCTTCAACCCACTTCAATGGCTTCATTACAAGATTTCATTCTTATATTCCTTGTTTCGTCTCATAGAATATACAACGTCGAAACAGATAAAAATATTATTATGCAAAAGGCATCTATGTTAGGTTTGGGAAGAGGCGTTAGGAACTCTTTAAATTATTAAACTATTCCGATATTCACTAGAGACACTGAGGAAGAAAATAAAAATTCCTCGGACACGTACGAAACACCTCTAAAATATAAAACTACAACTGTACTTATCCAGTACTCAGTTAAGATCGATCACACAACGAGAATATTCTTTCTGAAAGTGCCTGAAGTATGTATTTTGTCTGTAGGAGCCTACCCATTGGCAATGAGGAAGCTGACAGTTCGACGTGACACCTTGCAGCACGTTCTGTCTGTCGGAAGAAAGTCAGTCATCGA